TGTGGCTGATGGAGTAAGGCCTCAGGTTCTGCCCTACCTCTTAACTTACACCCTTGCTCATGATTCGTGAAATTGAATTGCAAACAATCAGGGAATGGGTGGGGATTTGAACCCAAGGCAAGAAAGTCTACAACTCACAGGCCAGTGCATAAATACTGGACCAGCTGGCTACAATAAGATTCATTCAGCTATGTAGGAAGGTTAGTCATGGGGCCTAGCATGGGGCCACCACTGTGGTTAAAACACACTGGCCTTTGAGTTATAAGTTTCATTTGGCCATGGGTTCAAAGTCCCACCTGTTCTGTGATGTTTTCTTGCTACATTCACTCTTTGTAACCTTGTGGCTCTACTCATAACCTGATCTTTAAAAACTATGTATGACACCCTGCCCTGAAGACGTCATCATGATCATTCCACTTCCTCAACCACTCTGAAGACTGCTGAAAATACTTTCAGTCATCCCTGTGAACTCATTGTGTCTAGCTTCCTTCTGTGCCCTTAAGTAACCATTTCTCAAACTCTCAAACAGCTTGTATGTTTACCCCATCTAGTTCCCTAAGATTTTGTTGTATTATCATGTCTCTCCTTGTGTATGTGGGAGGAGAGGGAGGAATCTTGTTGGTGTATATAGGGATTAAAGGTGTATACTATGGGAATTACTAGTGAGAATCTCTTGATTTAAGGAACGGGATTCTTAGAACTTGGACTCCCCTTCTTGGATCAAACCTGAATTGTTACCTCAACTTACCCAAAGTGTTGTGTGACCTTTGGGTTTAGGCACTTTTCCCATGATTTTTTTTTAATTTAATAAATCAGCCATTTCCCCACTGAGGCAGAGTAAACCAAAAAAAAGAAGAAACACTTTATCATCATTTACTCCATCATGTCATTGCCGAAGGCATGCCGACTGCGTCATATCTCCGCCCATCCTTCAGAGTGCATGCAGTGCACTTCCCACCTCCAGGACTTAGTCCGGTTAACCAGTTTCCCTGAAGCCCTTCATAAATGTTACTTTGCTCAACACTCCAACAGCATGTCAAGCTTTTTTATTTATTTATTATCACACTGGCTGATTCCCACCAAGGCAGGGTGGCCCGAAAAAGAAAAACTTTCACCATCATTCACTCCATCACTGTCTTGCCAGAAGGGTGCTTTACACTACAGTTTTTAATAACTGCTAACATTAACACCCCTACTTTCGGGTGCAGGCACACTGTACTTCCCATCTCCAGGACTCATAGTCGGACTGCGGTTTCCCTGAACCCTTCATAATGTTACTTTTGCTCACACTCCAACAAGGACGGTCAAGTTAATAATAACCATTTGCCTCCTCTCATTCGTATCTATAACACACAAACAGTTGGGGATGGTAGACAGCAGTCATTAGGGAGGTACTACTATCCTCTCAATTGACTGAATATTAGAAGCCTATTAAATTTTTTTGCACCATGGACAGAATGACTCATCTTTTGTTGTCCCATGAACAAGATGACAGATAGAAATTTTACAAACATTTCTTGACATTTCAGTTTATACTACTTTCCCTTCCCTAGTATTGCTAAACAGTTTTTATCCTGTAATATTTCCTTTCCTGTATTTTATTTTTTATTGTTTTTAAACACTAGTCCTATTTTTATATAAAATGTTATTTGGTTGTGTAAGTGTACAAAGGTGACATTAAAAACAATATCAAAGATGATTGCACATAAAACCACTTTCCTGTGTTGTATGCCGAAAGTATCAGTTAAGGGGCTGTTCCTTGTTTAACAACCAATTTCACTTACCGACCTTACCTCTTAGAACGGAACTCGTCGTTTTATGTGAGGAGTACCTGGATAATCCCAAAAGAAGCACATGGACAGATACAATGTGATATTACAGTGGTATGAGGATCTGTTTGTATGTACATGTGTGTGTGTGTGTGTGTGTGTGTGTGTGTGTGTGTGTGTGTGTGTGTGTGTGTGTGTGTGCGTTTGCGTGTGCATGTGCGTGTGCGTGTGCATGTGCGTGTGCATGTGCACGCGCATGCGCGCATGCACGCACGCATGCACAACAGTTGGCTATCTTTATTCTGAAACATTTCACCTACACAGCAGGCTTCTTCAGTTAAGTACAAAGTACAGAAGAGTGAGCAGAAGCAGTAGAGATGTGAAGACAATGTCATCAGTCCATCACCCTTGAAGACATAGTCTTGAGGTGGTCCGTTTCTCAGTCTGGAGAAGACTTTTGTTCCTTTGTCTGGAATAACATGAAGCTGAAGTGACAGTATGGAAACTTGCATACTGTCAGAAGGTGAGGTGTAGTCCATTAGTATAGTGGACCCTCAACCAACGATATTAATCCGTTCCAGAGAGCTTGTCGTTAGTCTAATTAATTATCCCCATAAGAAATAATGGAAATCCAATTAATCCGTTCCAGATGCCCAAAAGTATAAAAAAAAATTTTCACATGAAATATACATTTTCCTACACAGAAAAACAAGGATACATGTATAATAAATACTACATGAAGAATAAATGACACTTGCCTTTCTTGAAGAGTACTGATGAGTGATGAGACACTGTTTTTCTTGAACACTCTGGGATTTTCAGAGTGATACATGAGTAAAGGCTTCACTTTGCAATCCCCACTAGCACTATAACAAAACATTAGAGTTAGCTTGTCTTTCATAGACTTGTATCCTGGGAGTGCCTTTTCCTCCTGAGTAATGTAGGTCCTGTTTGGCATTTTCTTCCAGAACACGCCTGTTTCGTCACAATTGAACACTTGTTAAGGGATGAATTTTTCAGCTTCACCATGGCTTATCACACTGTGTATGCCACTACAATTCTTAAATCTCTCAAACCTTTGCTGGTCTTAAATTCACCAATATGAACACTAGTTCCAGGCACTTTTTCCTGTTCACCTGAGTGTTAGTCGACTGGTGTGGGTCGCATCCTGGGGATTAGATTAAGGACCCCAATGGAAATAAGTTAGACAGTCCTCGATGACGCACTGACTTTCTTGGGTTATCCTGGGTGGCTAACCCTCTGGGGTTAATTGTTTCTCAGTAATTGCTTCTCGTTAAGCCACACCAACAACAGTCTCTCCACATCTTCGAGTAGTGCAGCTGATGGTGGTGCAGCAGCAGTTGTTGGTGGTGCAGCAGCAGCTGACAGTGGTGCAGCAACAGCTGACGGTGGTGCAGAAGCAGTAAACCGTGGTACAGCAGCAGCAGCAGCAGCTAACTGTGGTACAGCAGCAGCTGACAGTGGTGCAGCAGCAGCTGACTGTGGTACAGCAGCAGCTGATGTGGTGCAGGAGCAGCTGACAGTGGTGCAGCAACAGCTGATGGTGGTGCAGCAGCAGCTGACCGTGGCACAGCAACAGCTGATGGTGGTGCAGCAACAGCTGACCATGGTGCAGCAGCAGCAACAGCTGACAGTGGTGCAGCAGCAGCAGCTGACTGTGGTACAGGAACAGCTGACAGTGGTGCAGCAACAGCTGACGGTGGTGCAGCAACAGCTGACGGTGGTGCAGCAGCAGCTGACTGTGGTACAGCAGCAGCTGATGGTGGTGCAGCAGCAGCAACAGCTGATGGTGGTGCAGCAGCAGCAACAGCTGATGGTGGTGCAGCAGCAGATGACCCTGGTACAGCAGCAGCTGACGGTGGTGCAGCAGCAGCTGACTGTGGTACGATAGTATTTCGATAGTATTTCTCACCCTTTTTACCACAGGGTTGGCACTAGAAGCTTTCTTTGGGCCCACGGTGGCTTATTTAGCAGTTTTTTTTTTTTTTAACAAGTCGGCCGTCTCCCACCAAGACAGGGGTGACCCAAAAAGAGAAAATTCCCAAAAAGAAAATACTTTCATCATCATTCAACTCTTTCACCTCACTCACACATAATCACTGTTTTTGCAGAGGTGATCAGAACACAACAGCTTAGAAGCATATACGTATAAAGATAAACAAATATCCCTCCAAACTGCCAATATCCCGAACCCCTCCTTTAGAGTGCAGGAATTGTACTTCCCATTTCCAGGACTCAAGTCTGGCTATATAAAAATAACTGGTTTCTCTGAATCCCTTCACTAAATATTACTCTGCTCACACTCCAACAGATCGTCAGGTCCCAAATACCATTCGTCTCCATTCATTCCTATCGAACACGCTCACGCACACCTGCTGGAAGTCCAAGCCCATCGCCCACAAAACCTCCCTTACCCCTTCCTTCCAACCTTTTTGAGGACGACCCCTACCCCGCCTTCCTTCCCCTACAGATTTAAATGCACTAAAAACAATGGAATAATACAAAATTTATCGAATGTATGCATGCAACCGTCCACTCTGGCTTGTAAACAATGGCACACTAGCTGAGCTGAGGCACTCAGGCCAGACTGACAGACGGATGCATTCGGGATGAATGTTTGTTAGTCGAGTTTTTCACTGTTGGTTGGGCCAAAATTTTTTACACAAAAACGCTTCATTAGTCGATTTTATCATTAGACGATGCCTTCATTGGTTGAGGGTCCACTGTATTCACTTTTGGGTACAATATAAGCCGTGTTCCATGGATTCTTGACTACCTACCTACATCATCACAAAAGTCAGGTTTAGTTGAGGTGGCTTCAAGGTGCAGTCTCATTCTTATATGCCTTCCTGTTAATCTTTTATTTTTATAGTTCCTTGATAATGTGAGAAATCACAAAAATGCTTGGAATTTCACTATTTTTTCACAGTGGTTATTCTGCATCATGTGTATGTGTGTGGAGGATGGGGGTGGGGTGTAAGGACTTATATGTGGCGTGTTACAAAGTGAGCATTACGATTTGCTCACCATGGGTTCAAACTTCACCCGTTCCGTGGTTTGCAGCTTAGTGTCATTATCACATGGGATGCTGGAGAATGTTACCTGTAGTTTGCACATAACACAAGAGAAAGACTCACCAATATTTGGAAAAAGGATGCCAATAATGGAGAATGTTACTTGTATGATGTAGATAACATAACAGATACTCACCAATATTTGGGATAAGGATACCAACTACCAGACTGGAAGCCAGAATACCAATAGTGATGCCCTTGAAGCGTGACTCCGGCATGTAATTGCCGACCAAATCAAAACTGGATGGATTATTCTGGAAAGAGCAAAATTCAATACCATCATTAATCAATACACAAAAATAACAAACCCACGGTATAAAAAACCTCAACATAACAGATTCCTGAAATAATGTTGGTAAAACCTATGGAACAAACTGCACATTTACTTCCACCTTTTTCAATGTTTATTGTAGTACATCTGTAAATTGTGTATTGTTATATATTAAGTACAGTGGACCCCCGGTTAACGATATTTTTTCACTCCAGAAGTATGTTCAGGTGCCAGTACTGACCGAATTTGTTCCCATAAGGAATATTGTGAAGTAGATTAGTCCATTTCAGACCCGCAAACATACACGTACAAATGCACTTACATAAATACACTTACATAATTGGTCGCATTCGGAGGTGATCGTTATGCGGGGGTCCACTGTATACAGGAAAGTACCTGGGTGCTTTCTATTTAACATAATTCTGATCATAGCTTTCTATGTCAGCTATGGTCTGTAGACCTTGTACATGTACTTGTAGTAAATAGATACATGTACTGTAATTTAATTGAATACCTTGTACCAGACCAATTAGAAAAACTATGTAATAAGTTGGCCTGAAATGCTTGGCATACAATGGGGTTTCAAATTATTGTATATATTTGTTTTAAACAAACCATCTGTCTCACTACAGCTTTGTTATAAAGCTAATCTATAAAGCCATGCACTGCTTTACAGTGCTTCACCTTATAGAATTGCGCTAATAGTGGTTTTCGGTTATACAGTGGACCCCCGCATAACGATTACCTCCGAATGCGACCAATTATGTAAGTGTATTTATGTAAGTGCGTTTGTACATGTATGTTTGGGGGTCTGAAATGGACTAATCGACTCCACAATATTCCTTATGGGAACAAATTCGGTCAGTACTGGCACCTGAACATACTTCTGGAGTGAAAAAATATCGTTAACCGGGGGTCCACTGTACTTATTCTTCACTTATTCAGACTTCCTACAACAAATATATGCACCACTCACTATATATAAACTAAGGATGAAAATATTTTAAGGTAGGTAATGTGTGTACTGAACATGAATGTTTTAGGCCTAGCTCTATTGCTCACTTAATATGATAGTGTAAACATGTTATCAGGCTTTTACATGAACATGAAAGTGAAAAAAGGCTGTTTCACTTTACAGCAATATTCACTTTACAGCAATATTCACTTTACAGCAATATTCACTTTACAGCAATATTCACTTTACAGCAATATTAACTTTACAGCAATATTCACTTTACAACAATATTCACTTTACAGCAATATTCACTTTACAACAATATTCACTTTACAACAATATTCACTTTAACAAAATTCACTTTACAACAATATTCACTTTACAGCAATATTCACTTTACAACAATATTCACTTTACAACATATTCACTTTACAACAATATTCACTTTACAGACAATATTCACTTTACAGCAATATTCACTTTACAGCAATATTCACTTTACAGCAATATTCACTTTACAGCAATATTCACTTTACAGCAATATTCACTTTACAACAATATTCACTTTACAACAATATTCACTTTACAACAATATTCACTTTACAACAATATTCACTTTACAACAATATTCACTTTACAACAATATTCACTTTACAGCAATATTCACTTTACAGCAATATTCACTTTACAACAATATTCACTTTACAACAATATTCACTTTACAACAATATTCACTTTACAACAATATTCACTTTACAACAATATTCACTTTACAAACAATAATTCACTTTACAACAATATTCACTTTACAGTAATATTCACTTTACAGCAATATTCACTTTACAACAATATTCACTTTACAACAATATTAACTTTACAGCAATATTCACTTTACAACAATATTCACTTTACAGCAATATTCACTTTTACAACAATATTCACTTTACAACAATATCACTTTACAAACAATATTCACTTTACAACAATATTCACTTTACAACAATATTCACTTTACAGCAATATTCACTTTACAACAATATTCACTTTACAACAATATTCACTTTACAACAATATTCACTTTACAACAATATTCACTTTACAACAAATATTCACTTTACAACAATATTCACTTTACAGCAATATTCACTTTACAACAATATTCACTTTACAACAATATTCACTTTACAACAATATTCACTTTACAGCAATATTCACTTTACAACAATATTCACTTTACAACAATATCACTTTACAACAATATTCACTTTACAACAATATTCACTTTACAACAATATTCACTTTACAACAATATTCACTTTACAGCAATATTCACTTTACAACAATATTCACTTTACAACAATATTCACTTTACAACAATATTCACTTTACAACAATATTCACTTTACAACAATATTCACTTTACAACAATATTCACTTTACAACAATATTCACTTTACAACAATATTCCACTTTACAACAATATTCACTTTACAACAATATTCACTTTACAACATATTCACTTTACAACAATATTCACTTTACAACAATATTCACTTTACAACAATACTTCACTTTACAACAATATTCACTTTACAACAATATTCACTTTACAACAATATTCACTTTACAGCAATATTCACTTTACAACAATATTCACTTTACAACAATATTCACTTTACAACAATATTCACTTTACAACCAATATTCACTTTACAACAATATTCACTTACAACAATATTCACTTTACAACAATATTCACTTTACAGCAATATTCACTTTACAACAATATTCACTTTACAACAATATTCACTTTAAACAATATTCACTTTACAACAATATTCACTTTACAACAATATTCACTTTACAACAATATTCACTTTACAACAATATTCACTTTACAACAATATTCACTTTACAACAATATTCACTTTACAACAATATTCACTTTACAACAATATTCACTTTACAACAATATTCACTTTACAACAATATTCACTTTACAGCAATATTCACTTTACAACAATATTCACTTTACAACAATATTCACTTTACAACAATATTCACTTTACAGCAATATTCACTTTACAGCAATATTCACTTTACAACAATATTCACTTTACAACAATATTCACTTTACAACAATATTCACTTTACAACAATATTCACTTTACAACAATATTCACTTTACAACAATATTCACTTTACAACAATATTCACTTTACAACAATATTCACTTTACAACAATATTCACTTTACAACAATATTCACTTTACAACAATATTCACTTTACAACAATATTCACTTTACAACAATATTCACTTTACAACAATATTCACTTTACAACAATATTCACTTTACAACAATATTCACTTTACAACAATATTCACTTTACAACAGTAGCCCAGAACCTGACCTGCTGTATTAGCAGGCCCTCCTGAAAAAATAAATACTAAAGCAGAATAATGTAATCCTTTATTGACAACGTTTTGCCCACGCAGTGTGACCTGATAAAGCCCACTGCGTGGGTGAAATGTTGTCAATAAAGGATCACATTATACTGTTTTAGTGTTTATATTTATATTTAGACGTCCTGTCTAAGGGCAATGTGTGGTATAAATATTATGCCGAAAATTCGGAGTGTGGAGATTAGGAGAAGGTGTGGAGTTAATAAAAGTATTAGTCAGAGGGCTGAAGAGGGGTTGTTGAGGTGGTTTGGTCATTTAGAGAGAATGGATGAAAGTAGAATGACATGAAGAGCATATAAATCTGTAGGGGAAGCAAGGCAGGGTAGGGGTTGTCCTCGAAAAGGCTGGAGGGAGGGGGTAAAGGAGGTTTTGTGGGCGAAGGGCTTGGACTTCCAGCAAGCATGCATGAGCGTGTTAGATAGGAGTGAATGGGGATGAATGGTATTTGGGACCTGACGAACTGTTGGAGTGTGAGCAGGGTAATATTTAGTGAAGGGATTCAGGGAAACTGGTTATTTTTATATAGCCAGACTTGAGTCCTGGAAATGGGAAGTACAATGCCTGCACTCTAAAGGAGGGGTTTGGGATATTGGCAGTTTGGAGGGATATATTGTGTATCTTTATACGTATATGCTTCTAAACTGTTGTATTCTGAGCACCTCTGCAAAAACAGTGATAATGTGTGAGTGAGGTGAAAGTGTTGAATGATGATGAAAGTATTTTCTTTTTAGGGATTTTCTTTCTTTTATGGGTCACCCTGCCTCGGTGGGAGACGGCCGACTTGTTGAAAAAAAAAAAATTCCATTGTGTCGGTATTTTATACCATTTATTTCCATTAAGGGCCCTCCTGTACAGCAACAGCCCAGAACCTAACCTGCTGTATCAGCAGGGTCCTCCTGTACAGCAGTAGTCCAGAACCTAACCTGCTGTATCAGCAGGGTCCTCTTGTACAGCAGTACCCCAGAACCTAACCTGCTGTATCAGCAGGGTCCTCCTGTACAGCAGTAGTCCAGAACCTAACCTGCTGTATCAGCAGGGTCCTCTTGTACAGCAGTACCCCAGAACCTAACCTGCTGTATCAGCAGGGTCCTCTTGTACAGCAGTACCCCAGAACCTAACCTGCTGTATCAGCAGGGTCCTCCTGTACAGCAGTAGTCCAGAACCTAACCTGCTGTATCAGCAGGGTCCTCTTGTACAGCAGTACCCCAGAACCTAACCTGCTGTATCAGCAGGGTCCTCTTGTACAGTAGTACCCAGAACCTAACCTGCTGTATCAGCAGGGTCCTCCTGTACAGTAGCCCAGAACCTAACCTGCTGTATCAGCAGGGCCCTCCTGTACAGTAGCCCAGAACCTAACCTGCTGTATCAGGAGGGCCCAACTGTCTAGTCCAAAGTTTTGTAAATATAACTGAAGTACATCCAAAATTGAACAGTGCATATTTTGAAGGTATTTTCATGTGCTATTCCATTTTTGATGCATCTTTTCAATTGTATTTGAAAACAGTGCCCCATAAACAGAATTATTATTATACACAAATTTACCCCATAAATAGGATTATTATT